AGATCTAACAGTGTCTCTGTTGACTCGGATGTTATGTATGACTGCCAAGGCATTCTGCATGCGGCGGTAACCAGTGTCGCGGTGAGAACCGGCCACTATGAATTTCATTTGTTCAATGAGGTCTTCCGGAACCACCAGCCCTTGTTGAATATCATCTTTTTGCCAACTAGTGTGTAATTCTTCAGATATTGTACGCAGATCATACATGTTGATTGAAATCCCTGTATCTCCCATAATCTGAGTAATGGCTTCCTTCCTTTGATAGCCAAGTTTGTTGAATTTGATTAAGAGCGCTTGAACTATTGATCTATCTTGTGGTGAAAATTTGCTTTAGGCAGTACTAAGACCATATTTCTGGAGACGTCTGGTCAGAGTGGTTCGTGACATATCAATACCCATGCCTTCAAGATGAGAGCAGATTTCGGTTCTTTTCATTCCTGCCGCCACACATTGTCGGATGCTTTCTTCTTCAATCTCTTGAAGGTATGTAGGATGATTTTGATCAATCTCTTCATCGGAGTAGTTGGTTGGATCTTCATTTTGAGATTGCATCGGGAAAAACCAATGGAGAATTACACACAAGATATCTTTGAGGTCTTTTAGCAGGATCAGGTAAGCAAAAGAGATGTGTTTGATGATCGAGACAATTGACAACAGTCACTTCACATATCTACATACAAAATACGGACAAAAAACAAAGCGTTTCAAGTGGGAGACGACCGATCGGCATCGTAAAAGGGGGTGTTCGATCTAGAACATTGCTAGTTCCAGATCCAGACGCTGGAAGTTGATCAGTCGACCGACCGACCGCACCGAAATGCGTGAATTGGTCAATAGATCCTTTTGCCTAGTTCTTCAGTTGCAGATGCGTCTGGAACAGAATGGCACAGTGAATAGTGCATAAGTATGTGTAGTGCACAGTGCATAACGCATAGTGCACAACGCGTTTGAGGTGGTCCTCGCTCGCGACTCTCGTCCTCCATATCCCAGGTCAGCCCTCAAGATAGAGTGCGACGCAATACACGAGACCTGAAGTTCAGATGACAGTCTTTTAAGAGGTTGACCACTCCACGACTCAAAAAACAATCGAGTAAAGCTGCCAACCGGACTCGGGAAATGATTTAATCACACTCTGCTCCCAATCGCATTGCAGAGTCGACCATCATTCGAGTCAGAGGAAAAAAAGAAACATGCTCCTGCTGGATATGTTTTCTTTTTCCAACGCGCATGTTGCATTTCTTCCTTTCCAGTATCGATCATATATTTGCGTATAAGAACTTTTTTCATCTCCAATTTGGTCCACATATCAAGATCTGAATATTAAAATGGGAAGTCATTTTGTGAGGGTAATGCGCACGTCTAGCA